GCCCGGTGGCAGGCACTGGCCCCAGAGGGCAGCTGGAGATCTGTTTGGTGGCCTCGGAGGGCTCATCGTCTCTGTATTTTTAGAAAAAGTGAGGGCACAGCAGTGACCCAGCAACCGCCTCACTGTCTGCGCATCACCCTGGGCAGTGGAAAGGGGCTTGAAGCCTGGGTTCCGGCTGGTGGTTAAGGGCAGGGCCAATCGCCCACCTGCCTTTCCTCCTTCCTTCCTTCCATTCTCCCTCCCTTCCTCAGCACACACTGCTGGCCAGATACTCAGCTGGGCACTAGAGGCAAGATTTACTCAGGGCTCTGGTCTTCCACTGCGGTCCACGGGGCCACAGAGTCGGACACGACTGAAGCGGCTTAGCACACACACGCACTGGCCTTCCACGAAGGTGGTAAAAGAACAAGAGCTGACCAGAGGCTTACAGAACTTCCCAATGCAGGTTCAATCCCTGGTCAGGGAAACAAGATCCCACATACTGTGAAGTGACTCAGCCTGAGTGCCACAACTAAAGAGCCTGCAAGCCGCAGCTGAGACCCAAGGCAGCCAATAAATATTTAAAAAAAAAACAGACTCGGCGGCGGCCACAGCGCAGACCAGACTTTGCTCGCTCGCAGCTCGCTCCGCGCCCTCTGCAACAATGTCTGACAAGCCCGATATGGCTGAGATTGAGAAGTTCGATAAGTCGAAATTGAAGAAAACGGAAACGCAAGAGAAAAACCCACTGCCTTCGAAAGAATCCATCCAACCATCTCATCCTCTGTCGTCCCCTTCTCCTCCTGCCCTCAATCTTTCCCAGCATCAGGGTCTTTTCCAATGAGTCAGCTCTTCTCATCAGATGGCCAAAGTATTAGAGCTTCAGCTTCAGCATAAGTCCTTTCAATGAATAATCAGTTTGGTAATTTATAAAGTATTTTTTTTTATATTTGATGTTTTGGGTACCTGGTTCAAGAATTCTTTCCTTATTCCACATTATGAGTGATCTGAGAACAAGACTTATGGAGAGATCACCCTTGGTCAGGTTTTTCTCTCTAGTTACTTAAGGCAACAGAGGAGACAATGGTTACAGAATTGATAGTAGACTTTTTTTTTTAATGTAACCATTTTTTTAACATCTGTTCTACATAATGACTGAAAGGTTTGGGTTTTTTTGCATTAAAAAAGTTATATTATGGAAATTTTCAGCCATACACAAAAATGCCACTCATCATCCAGTTTCAACAATGGTCAACATTTTACCATTCTTGTTTCATCTATCCTACTCTAGTATTCTTGCCTGTAAAATTCCATGGACAGAGGAGCCTTGTGAGCTACAGTCCATGAGGTCGCAAAGAATCAGATATGACTAGTGACTGAGCACACATTAATATTCCATAATATTAATATTTATGTACTACATCTTATTTATCCCTTCATCTGTTGATGGGCATTTAGGTTGTTTCAATGTCTTGGCTATTGTGAATAGTGTTGCCATAAACATAGGGGTGCATGTATGTTTTCCAATTACAGTTTTTTTCTGGATATATGCCAAGAAGTGGGATTGCTGGATCATATGGCAACTCTACTTTTAGTTTTCAAAAAGAACTTTTTAGTATTTATTTTTATTTGCCTGCACTGAGTCTTAGTTGTAGCATGCTGGATCTTTGATCTTTGCTTCAGCATGTGGGATCTTTATTTGTGGCATGTGAACCCTTAGTTGTGGCGTGTGAGATCCAGTTTCCCAACCAGGAATGGAACGCTGGCCGCCTACATTGGGAGTATGAAGTCTTAGCCACTGGCCCACCAGGGAAGTCCTTCAAAAAAATGTTATAGTTGGTTTGCTCAAATCATAATCAAACTTGGTCTGCACCTTTTGTTTTATTGACATACCTGTCTTTCTGGGTCACTGCTCTAAGTTATTTCTTATGGTCACATTTGGCTGATTCCATCCTTGTGGTGTCATTTTGTGTGTTCCTCCAGCCCTAATCTTCCACCATATTTTCACATATTTCTATGGAAGTTTGATTAAATTCAGATTTAGTTCTTGTGGCAAAAATACTACATAGATAGTCTTGTTGTATGTCCCATTGTATCACTTCGGGGATTTCACTTTGTGTGATATTTAGATGGATCAGAGGGTTCAGTTTGATCCAATCTTTTACCTACATGCCTTTAGCAGTTATTGAAGGTCATCAATTTGTGGTTGCAGAATGGTAACTTCTTAATTCTAGTATTGCTTTTGCATTTATTGTCTAAAATTATTTTTTCAAGAAGAATGTTCCCCCACCAATTATTGCCTTGTGTTATAGACTGCATGTTTGTGTATCCCCAAATTCAAAAGTTGGAACCCTAATCTCTAGTGTGATGGTTTTTGGAGATGATTTGGGAGGTGATTAGGTCATGAATAGGATTAGTGCTCTTATAAAAAGAGACACAAGATGTACTATGTACATAAGTTAAATTATCAGGGTGACATTATATAGCCTTGTCTGGTACTCCCATCTCTTTAAGAATTTTCCACAGTTTGTTGTGATCCACACAGTCAAAGGCTTTAGTGAAGTCAGTGAAGCAGGGGTAGATGTTTTTCTGAAACTCCCTTGCTTCCTTGTAATGCACGTAGGCAATTTGATCTCTGGTTCCTCTGCCTTTTCTAAATCCAAGTTGAACATCTGGAAGTTCTCGGCTTACGTACTGCTGAAGCTTAGCTTGAAGGATTTTGAACATAACCTTGCTAGCATGTGAAATGAGCACAATTGTGCAGTAGCTTGAACATTCTTTGGTATTGCCCTTCTTTGGGATTGGAATGAAAACTGACCTTTTCCAGTCTTATGGCCACTGCTGAATTTTCCGTATTTGGTAACATATTGAGTGCAGCACTTTATTTTTATTTATTTTTTTTAATTTAATTTTATTTTTTTGCTCTTTTTTTTTTCCCATTTATTTTTATTAGTTGGAGGCTAATTACTTTACATCATTACAGTAGTTTTTGTCATACATTGAAATGAATTAGCCATGGATTTACATGTATTCCCCATCCCGGTCCCCCCTCCCACCTCCCTCTCCACCCGATCCCTCTGGGTCTTCCCAGTGCACCAGGCCCGAGCACTTGTCTCATGCACCCAACCTGAGCTGGTGATCTGTTTCACCCTAGATAATATACATGTTTCAATGCTGTTCTCTTGAAACATCCCACCCTCGCCTTCTCCCAGAGTCCACAAAACAGCATCATTTGGGGGGATTTTAAATAGCTCAGTTGCAATTCTGTCACCTCCACTAGCCTTTTTTTTTTTTTTTGCTGTTGTTATCTTGTACATAACATATAATTCATCCATTTAAAGTGTACAATTCAGAAGATTATGGCATATTCACAAAATTGTATAATAGTCAGCACTGTCTAATTTTAACATATTCATCATCCTCCCCAAAAGAAACCCTATACCCATTATCAGACCCTCCTCCTTCCTGCTACCAGCCCTAGGCAACCATATTTTTGATTTCTGTTTGTATAGATTTGCTTATTGTGAACATTTCATATAAATGAAATTGAAAAATATGTGGTCTTTTGTGACTGAGTTCTTTAGTATAGCATAGTTTTCTTTAGTATAGTATCGTTTTCAAGGTTCATCCATGTTGTAGAATGTAAAAGTACTCTATCTCCCTCCTTTTTTTTGTTTCACTGCAGCATGTGAGATCTTAGCTCCCCAACCAGGGATCAAACTTGTGCTCCCTGAAGCAGAAGCACAGAGTCCTAACCACTGGACCATCAGGGAATTTCTATATGTTATCCCTTTTAAAGGCCAAATAAGATTCTGTTTTATGGATATACCATATTTTGTTTATCTATTCATCATTTGATGAATGTTTGGGGATGTTTCCACCTTTCTTTCTTCATAACATTATTGTAAATAATGTTGGTGTGAACATTCGCTATACAAGTTTTTGTGCAGACATGTTTTCATTTTCTTGAGAATATATCTCAGGACAGAACTGATGGGTCCTTCCTCTTCTAGCTTGTGGAAGAGTTTGTGAAGGACTGGAATTAATTCTCTTTTAAAAGTTTGATAGAATTCATCAGAGCAACCATCTGGGCTCTGGATTTTTCTTTGGAGTAATTTAAAAATTAAAATTTCAGTCTCTTTACTTTTGTAGATCTATTTAGATTTTCTGTTTCTTCTCATGTTAGACTTGGTAGTTTGAGTTTTTCTAGGAATTTGTATAATACCTCTAAGATATCTAATCTGTTGCCATATAATTATAGCATTCTCTTATCATTCATTTTATTTTTATAAGATTGGTAGTGATGGTCCTCTTTCATTCCTGATTTTAGTAATTTTTATCTTTCTTTGTCAGTCTAGTTAAAGGTTCACCAATTTTGCTCATCTTTTCAAAGAACCAACTTTTGGTATAATTGATTTTTCTCCAGTGTTTTTCTATTCTCTATTTCATTTATTTCTCCTCTAACCTTTCCTATTTTCATCCTGTTTGCTTTGGTTTAGTTTGTTCTTCTTTTTTCAGTATCTTATGGTGGAAGGTATAGTTATTGATCTGAAATATTTCTTCTTTTCTAAGGTGGATATGTACTGCTATAGATTTCTTCCTAAGCAATGCTTAACTGCTTCCAGTGATTTTTGGTACATAAAGTTTTTGTTTTCATTCATGTCAAAGCATTTTTTAATCAAAGTATTTTCTAATTTCTTTTCTGATTTCTTCTTTGACTCATTGGTTATTTAAGAGTGTATTGTTTAGACCGGAAGCCGTTCCCCTGTGAGGCTGAGGACCCAGAGCGGCGGTCGCCGGTCCAGGCGCCATGGCTGCGGAGCGGACCTGGCCGCTGCGAGGCTCTGGCGGCCCGAGCGCGCTCACCCTAGATAATATACATGTTTCAATGCTGTTCTCTTGAAACATCCCACCCTCGCCTTCTCCCAGAGTCCACAAGTCTGTTCTATACATCTGAGATTCATGTTTTAAGAAAATAACTGCTGAGTGAAAAAGTGGATTCGAGTGGGGAACACAGGTGGATGCTCGGTGGCCAGTTAGACTTTGGCAGTAGTCCAAGCAGAAGAGACCCCGGCTCGGACGTGGACGGCACTATGCAAGGAGAAGGGCACATCCGAGGCTGTGTCTTTGCAGCAAAGCCAGCTGAACTTACAGGGAACCAAGGAGAAAGATGACTAGTGGCTTTTAGACTGGGTGGGGTGGGTGATTGTGTGAGAAGACCAGTAATACCACTGAACTGTACACTAAAAAATGGTTAAGATTCTACATTTTATGTTCTGTGTATTTTACCACACTTAAAAAAACCAAAACCTGGAAAGAAAAATCTGTCCTGGGCATATTCAGTTTTAAATAGAAAAGTTATGTAAGACAATTTAGTGTTGGTTAAAAAACAGTGGATTTGGGGCTAGGACCTGACTGTAATGTCTTAGACGAGTGACTTCCCTTCAGGGGAGGGCCTGAGTTTCATCATCTGCTCTTTGTTCTTGTGAATATTAAATGAGGTGATGGGGCAGCTCCCCGCAAGTTTCATTTGTATCTGCAACCCAGGCTTCTGAGTGAGTGAGCCTGGCCTGCCTTCTCACTTTATGCTGATTTAATGGTAAAATACCCAGAACCTAGTGTTTACAGATTATCCCAAGTGCTCATGGGATTTTAGCTTCTATTACATTTATTTTCATTGTTTTATTTCATTTTCAGTGTGATTATCTGAGATAATAGGTGCCCCAACCCCTGTTTTTAAAGATGAGGAAACAGAGATGAAGAATTTAGATGGTCCCGCCCAAGGTTGCAAAGTCAGCATATGACAGATTCTGGTCACAAGTAGAATGTCTTTTCTCCTTATGACACACGTACTTATGAAAACAAGTCATTTGTACCTATTATGTATATGGATTTTTTTCTTTCCTATTCTTTATCATTTTATGATTTTAAAAATCAGTCCTAATGTTTGCTTCCAGACCAAAGCTAAGAGTAAATGCTGCCAGTATTAGACACTTTTAGATCTTGCTGATAGCCTAGAGAATCTCGTTATAATAAAACTCTTAGTAAAGGTTAACTTGAGTTACAGATAACGTAGAGTTATAGATTACCCACATACCATATCATTTTGAGCCTTTTTTCATATTTTACTTAAAAGGGATGTATATAGTACTAAAAGGGTCTTTCTGTAACAGGGGTATGTATTATTTCTAGGTGGTCTTGCAGAAGTGCAAAGTCAAGTCTCTCTTGCACAGCCCTGGAGACTACATCCTCTTAAGTGCAGACAAATATGAGATCAAGATTTGGCCAATTGGGAGAGAAATTAACTGTAAGTGCTTAAAGACGTTGTCTGTCTCTGAGGATAGAAGTATCTGCCTGCAGCCAAGACTTCATTTTGATGGCAAATACATTGTCTGTAGTTCGGCACTGGGCCTCTACCAGTGGGACTTCGCCAGTTATGATATTCTCAGGGTCATCAGGACTCCTGAGATGGCGAACCTGGGGCTGCTTGGCTTTGGGGACGTCTTCGCCCTGCTGTTTGACAACCGGTACCTGTACATCCTGGACCTGCGGACAGAGAGCCTGATGAGCCGCTGGCCTCTCCCCGAGTATTGGAAGTCCAAGAGGGGCTCCAGCTTCCTGGCAGGTGAAGTGTCCTGGCTGAATGGACTGGACGGGCACAACGACACGGGCCTGGTCTTCGCCACCAGCATGCCCGACCACAGCATCCACCTGGTGCTGTGGAAGGAGCACGGCTGATTTCGGCGCCGGGGCTGCGGCTTTGGAGTGCAGCCTCTGGCAGCCAACTGCATGAACCAAAGTTCTCACCTCACGGTATCATCGCGCAGTGCACAATCATGTATCTGTTTGCCGGGGGCAGGGCTCCGGGCGGGGGGCTCGTCTTGTGGACACACACCGCAGCACGCTGACGGGGCGCACGTTGGCTTCATGTGTTCCTAGTTTGTGGGTCAGTGTGAGAGGCTGCATCTGGGGTTCATCGTTTATTTGTCCTTAGTTATGTGGGTCAGTGTGAGAGGCTGCATCTGGGGTTCATTGTTTATTTGTCCTTAGTTATGTGGGTCAGTGTGAGAGGCTGCATCTGGGGTTCATCTTTCTTGAATATTGGTTTTAAGTAAAGAAATTTAAATGGCAAAAAAAAAAAAAAAGAAAAAAAAAGAGTGTATTGTTTAATTTGTGAATAAACAACATATTTGTGAGTTTCCAAATTGTCTTCCGCTATTGAATTCTAACTTCATTCCATTGTGGTTAGAGAACATGCTTTGCTTGATTTCACTCCTTTTTATGTACTGAGACTTGTAATAAGGCCTAACATAAAGTCTACCCTATAGAAAGTTCCATGTGCACTTTAGAAGAATATGAATTTTACTGTTGATGGGTGGAGTTTTCCATAGATGTTGGGATGAGGTATATGGAAACAGGACAAGATAAATTGTTGTTAACTCACTGTATTTACTGAGGTTCAGTTTATCTTGAATGAATACACTTCAGATTGTTGTAAGCCTTTGGTTAGTTTCCAGAGTTCTGAAAAAAGTTTCTTTTGACAATTGTTGCCTTTTTAAAAAAAAATTACACTTCCTTCTTTGGAAGTATAGATTTACAGAGGTCTTTACTCTGCCAATCCACAAGTCCCACCTCAAAAATATTGTTTTAAAGACACTTGAGATAATTCTCAGTGATTATGGCAGAAATTTGAGGCTCATCAGGTTCATTTAGGGCTTCCCAGGGGGCACAGTGGTAAAGAATACACCTGCCAATGCAGGAGACACAAAAGATGCAGGTTTGATCCCTGGAATGGGAAGATCCCCTGGAGTACAAACTGGCAACACATTCCAGTATTCTTGCTTGGAAAATTCCATGGACAAAGGAACCTGGCAGGCTATAGTACATGAGGTCACAAAGAATCAGACCCAACTGAGCACACACGCACAGGTTCATTTGCTTCATTTTTTTTTTTTTTTTAATATTTAAGGAGCGCCTCTTTTTCTTCTTGATTTAATTTTAAAAAATGTAAAAAATTTGTGTTCCCAAAGTCTAATCTATGAAACAAGATACATTTAGAAAGATCTAGCTTTCATCATTGCCCCTCCTCTCTCTATAGGTTACCAGTTCTTAAAACTAGTTTTTGGTGTATGCTTCATAGTTTTTAAAAAATAAAACCATATAGCTATAAATAAACATTCCTCTGTTTTAATCACTTTTTGCTTTTTCCTTAACAAGATATCCTAAAGATAACTCCATAGTGGAATATGGAGCCATTCTTAAATTAATTGGATTTTGAAAAATTGTAAGAAAAAATTATTCGAGCTTAAATCATATTTTGGGTAAATGATATGTAAATAGTGTTTTATTAAATTCTTCAAATATATCAGCTAATTACAGGTATAATTTTTTATTTAGATGCCTAAATCTTCAGGAGTTGGTATTCTTTCTCTGGCTGTGTGAGGCTGGTTCAGAGTTGGTCTTTTGTTTTAGTGTCTTCATTTCTTGTTCTCTCCTGTCCACTTCTTTCTTCTCCATGTAGGTCACCAATAGCTTACAGACTCCCTTGGTAATTTCTACATGTCACAAAGTTGAATGCAAGATGGATGAGAGTCAAGACATCTAAAGAAGGCTAAGGCAACATATGGTGAGAAGTAAATCAATACAAGGAGAATTGTTAATTTTCCACTAGCGCATTAAGGTTTATTTTGGGATGTCTCAGAGGACACCTTTATTGTAAAGGAATAATTTGACAACTGTGTCTTAATAAGTAAATAGAAATAAATTAGGAAAAATAGAAATAATCACCCTGCTAGGAGTTAGAGATTAATTGTCACCATATTTAGCAAATAAAAGTAGAGGACATCCAGCTAAGCTTGAATTTCAGATAATTTTTTATGAATAAGTTTTTTTAGTATAAGTATGTCCTAACTATTACACTCAAAATATATCCATTGTTTATATGGAATTCAAATTTAACTGGGTATCCTGTATGTTTTCCGGAAATCCTATTTGAAACACAAATCAAGTAGATAGGGCTTGTCTTGGTGTTTGAAATGAAGTAGATTTGGGCTGATGTAGAATCAGTTCTTCAAGGCTGTCAGACACAGTTTTGTGCTGGGAGAGAACTGGTTTAGACTTCTTTCTGAGTCATCTCTTGCTTTTCCATTGTAGACTTTCCAATCACTGCCCCCCGCCATACTGAACTATCTGCAGTCCAGAAAATGGAATTCTTTTTGGCGTGTGAAATCTTCCAATTTACAATGTTAGCTCTTTCTTTTGTAAACTAAGTAGGCCAAATAAAACTCACATTCATGCTGGATTGAGCCATAAGGCCACCAGTTTGAGATCTTGTATTAACTATTCAAATGTGACACCATTTTTCAAAGATCTATATTAAGTGCAGTTCCAATGGGCTGGGATAACTCTATCTTGTACTTAACTCTGTCTGAACTCTCGAGAACAGTTGCCTGCTTTCTTGCTGTTCTCCCCCAAAACAAGAACTTTATATTTTATTTTTCTAACCTCAGCTGCCAGCAGAATGTTTGAGCAGAATGTTTGAGACATTGTAGGCACTCAGATGAATGAATGAATGAGTGGGTGAATGCATCTCGGTCACCTCCTGTTCTTCCAGGCAGAACACTAATTCCTTTCCATCCCAGAATGGGGCAAAAGTGGTAAACTAATTACTTTAGACATAAAATTTTGTTATTAAGTATTTCACAGTTCAAGGCTGGTAAACTGTGGAAGTTTAGTAACTGATTGCATCTTGGAAACCACATGTGAAGGGGAGAGTCAAGCTTCTGGAATTTGGCAGTGTTTATAGTTCTACTTGCAGTGGTTTTAAAAATAATGTGACATATTCAGTGAAAATGCATTATTGTTAATATTTTATTAGAGAGTTATTGTTTTCTCTTTGAATATCTCTCATTATAGGCTGATGCATTATTAAGTAGAAATGTATTACATCCAAGGACCAATTTTCCCATCCCTGGGCTATGTATTTCTGATTCTATAACAGAAGTCAGTGGGTAAGTCAGATTCATTTCATCTAAATTTATAGCAAACTCTTTTGGAACTTTCATTTGAGGGATACCTGCATAATCATGTAATATATTTTAGGTTCTGCAGCAGAATAAAGCAAGCAAATGGAGCCAACTTCATTGTTAACACAATGGAGCAGCTGCATGGTGACTGCAGACATTACTGGAGATATCAGTCATTGGTACAATCAAGAATGAATCTCCTTCCAAATTTTCACAAGGAAACAATAGCACATCCCCTATACATACTGGCATTTACATGTTCTTTCTGGTAAATATTTTAAGTCAAATATGATTCAACGCTGTTAAAAATTTTTCAACTCTTCCTACAGAAATGCTGTAGAATGACTGAAAGAGCTTTGGTCTATTTAGTAACTATCTTATGAATTTAAAAGCAATCATAATTTTAAAACTGAAGCATTAAGTTAAGCAGGCCTTGGACAATTGAGGATGGCAAATGCAGAGCCCTCCCCTACCATATATTGCTCAGCTGAAACCTAATTGTAGAGGGAAGCTTTCAATGGATAATAATATGTGTTAGGAAAATTTTACCCTAGATAGATACCAGATTCACCTTTGCTTTATATCATATTTGAAATCATTGTATTTCCTGGAGGAGAAATTTTAAAGAAGATTTTAAAGTATAATTCATTGTTGAGATGAAGAACATGACAAAGCAGTCTGATCGTTAGTGCAGGGCATCAGTCTTGAGGCAGGACCAGACAGATTCCAGGAGGCTTCTGGTGTGGGTCCCAGACCCTGCTGTCCCAGTGTGGACTGAGTGCCAGAGCCTATTTCTGGCACTTCTATCACTGACTCTTGGAAATTAACCCTGTATGATATTCAAAAAATAGCGAATTTTAACAATTTGAGAATGAGAAACTTTACAATTGGGAGAAGCTTCACAAACAGACTTTTAAATGTAATTTTTTCTTCTCTAAGGCAGCTTGGCCTAGGAGATTATAAGAATAGAAAAATGAAGGAAATCAGTTTTTTTTTTTTTGTTGTGGTGCCTCTTAACTGTTCTGCCATAAACTACTTTTCCACTGGGATGGAAGATGTTTAGATCAAATCAGTTTTTCCCAAATTGTGTTCTGAGATCTTCGGACAACTGGCATGAGAATTAGGTGGACACTTGCTTGCTGAAAATGAAAACTCCTGGGCCCCCAACCTACAGAGTCAGTCTCTGAGTCAGACCAATCCACCAGTTCTAGCTGTTTTGTAGACATACTAGAGTTTGAGATCCATTGGTGAGGTGAATCTCAGGGCCCCTTCCTCCCACAAAATTTTGTGAGGCTCGGATGGTCTTTCCAAAATTAAGCTTGTTGGTGATGGAAATTTTTACTCCTCCCTTGCAATAAATTTAATAAACCTGAAAAGGGCTTCATCAAGCAAGATTTAGTTAACAGATAAGTTTGGATAGTTTAGCTAACTATCCAGAGATCTAGTCAATCTTGGATTATTGGAAGGAATAGCACTTAAATATTTATACAGGAAATTAGATTTAAAATAGACCAAGTAACTTGAGTCTGTGGAGGTTACCTGCCATATCAGTAAACAAAGGATGTTGTGGCTTTCAAGCCATCAGTCACTTCAGTGCCCTCCCCACCCCCACCACCCCTGTGCACCCTGAGGGGATTCTGGATGGAGAAAAACAGGATACTGACCCTAGGTACTTATCAGAATGATTTCAATGAGCCCAGACTCTTGCATCTTTCCATATACAGAAAAGCACCAAATTCTGTAATTTGAGACTCTTGTTTTTTCTTTAATTAACAGAAATCT